ATAAAAAGTCTTATGCACCTAGCTATCTGTACAGTGAACATTTGGGGATAGCCACTAAGGTCCAATAAAATAGGCACCCTGAACTATTTAACACTTTACTGTCATTAGCCATGGTCACTGAACCATGACACTCCCAATCTTTGGCAAGATTTAAATTTTTTTTTTTTTTTTTATACAAAATTAATATTCTTGACCATGTGATAATCAACCAATCAGATTATATTTTAAACATAGCAATTTTTAAAAATAAATCAAGAGTTCTTGACCTCAAGTTAGACATATCATAGCATAACCACACCCCAAGTGATATTTGATATATTGACTCTGAAAGTAAACAGGCTCAGGACTTTAAAATTGGTCTTTGTCTCAACTAAGTATTTATCAAAGCTTCATGAAATCAGGCATCAATTTGATATTGGATGTTACATCTACGACAACCCTTCTAAAAAGATTATTTTTTGTCTCTGAAAAATGTTGCAGATCGGTCGAATTATTCATAAAATGCTGAAAGAATACAAAAAGGTGAATGCAGGTGAGTATGTAGAGATGTCCTTATTGTACATTCCAGTTTCAATGAAAAATTGTAAGAGACTACTAACATTTAAGAGAAGTTCTTTGTTGGTTTGGTAGAATCATTAGATTCTGCATATAGTCAAGCAAGCTTAGGACATTGTATGATGTGTACTATTCTATGTGACACTCAATGTGACATCAGGACTGAAAGGGCCCTCAGGAGAACAAGACAAAGCTTATTGCTAAGACAGTTGAAAAAATCCATTTGATAACACGGAGATTATATTTAACCTTTACCACGCTGCAGGCAAAAACTGTCACTATAGAGTTCTCTCCCTTTGCTACGGTTGCTATAAATTGCTTACTACTGCTTTGGAAAGCAGTTAACTTCCATTCTTCAATGCCATTTTGAATTCTTCGATACTCTACATGAGGTGCAACACTGATTAAATCCATATTAATTTTTTTCAATTTTTTGTAAACAAAAATGGCTGTGTCAATATCCAGCAAAGCCTTTATTCTGAAGTCTTCTTTTGAATAGGACTCCAATGATAACTTTGAAGGCCTTACTCGAGCGGATATTGATGGTAAAATGGTTGAAGATGATAGCCATGCTCATGACGTAGAGGAAAGCGATAATGACCACTGGCGGCTACTATCATCCTTGCCTGACTAATTTTATGGAAGATACTGGTGACCATCGATATACCTGATAGCCTTTCTGAAGGTGAATTATTTTGTCTATTTATAAACGACAAAATAATAACTTTGTTCATCAACAAAACAAATAAATATGAGTCAGGTGAAAAAAAAAGAGCAAACAAATGCTAGTTTCTTGTATGTAAACACAAGGAAACACTTCACTTTTTTGGATGAAATGAAAGCCTTCTTAGCGATTTTGCTTCTTATTTAACCCCCAAAACTCCAAAGAGTAATAAAATTTAAAGTAGATTGAATTATTTAAATTATTTTTTTATTGCATTTGTTAATGTGTTTGTTTTTTATTTCATGTTTCAATTTTTGTTTTCAACATCAAAACATGTATTATATCAAAATATTACTCATTTGTTCTTTTATTAGTGTACAAAAATTAAAATCTATATGCACAATAGAAAGAAAGTTATAACAATTTTAAAACAGTAGGTGTTCATGTTTTTGCATCCTCAAAAAAAAAATAAAATAAATAAATAAAATAAAATAAATAAAAAATGAAGTGACAGGGGGAACAATTCTAGAAAGAAATTAGCATGGTAATGGTTAACTAGGTACTTGATTAAAGTACGCCTGGAAAATTAGTTTATATATAATTTATTTTTAAAATGATTCCATCGCTACATAAGAGTTCTCATGTTTCAAAAACAGAAACTATAAACTTCAATTATAGAAATTAAATTAAAGTACCCAGTTCTGTTTCATCCTCAAGCAAATTTTATTAAATCAAAGACATGAGATAACGGTTTTTTGCTGACGACGACAAATGTTCGCCTTAAATAATCAGCTTAAAATTTTTTTTAATTTCTAAGTCTGTAAACATGTTCAATTAAAGCAATAGGTTTAAAAAAAAAAACTTAACCCAAAGTAGAAAAAAAAAAAAAAAAAAAAACAACTTGTAGTTCAATTTGACATATTCATATACTAACAACCCTTTTAGAAAAAAAAATCTTTATGTACACAAATACAAATTTAACGTCATAACAAAAAGTGCCAAAAACACTGTCGCTGAAATGGACTAGATGACATGCATTGAACGGATGTCATCATTCCTTTGAAAACAGGCACCCCCACCCTACCTTGACTTAACCTCTTTTCGAAAGTAACTAATATGTTGATACAATAGCTTTCAGTGAAAATGTAAACCCCACCGCCCCTTATTAAAAAGATTGGGTTTGTTGGTTTCCATAAAAAATGAATATTATGAATGTATATGCTTATAAAGCTCTGTAAATTTCAAAATTTGTTATTCCAAAATTCACTTGAAGATGAAACAGAACTAGGTACTTTAACTTAATTTCTATAATTAAATAAAAGATTTTAGCTTCTGTTTTTGAAACATGAAAACTCTTACGTAGCGATGGAATCATTTTTAAAAAATTATAATATAGGCTCTACTTGTGTATTGAGCGCTGTTTTTTTTTTTAAAATAAAACAAAAATACTAAAGAACTTTGGATTATTAACCTAACAGTTCTTTCCTATTTTTCTATATATTTACACACACAGAGAAAGATACACACTGCATTTTATATTATGTTATTTTGGATAGAAGAATTATATCCTTATCTTGTAATGTTAGACATCAGTTTTATGTCCTCTCAGGGTATGATTTTTAAATTCCACTTAGCAAGTATAAGGTGAGGTGGTGTAATTACCTCATTATCAAAACTGTTTAAAACTGTTTTTTTTTTTTTTCTTCTTTTTTTGTTACCCCAAGAGATAATATAATGCCTTTGGATATTTGCAACATGAAATAAGACCAAATGGTGTCAGCATGTAACTGAAGGTTTAATGAATGAGAGAAAGAAAAAAAAAAATTAAAGAAAATCGATTAATCCAGCTGATAGTTTTGAAAGGAAACTAAATAAAACAACTTAAATAAAATTGAATTTACACTATGAAGATTTATCTAAGAAAAAAAAAAAAACAAAGTTAAGAGCTAGTTTCTAAAAATGCTTTAAAAAACCAACTTCAGTAGACATAGCAATTCCTCAGCCTTTAATTCACACAAGCTACAGTTTCAAATAGTAAAAGGAGGAGCAATAGAAAAGGTCATATCTGGCTGATCTTTTCATAAATACAAAATTTCCCAGAAATTATAAGCACTAACAATAAATATATATATATATATATATATATATATATATATATATATATATATATATATATATATATATAAATATATATAATATAATAAAAAAATTAAACACTAATATTCCATGGTCATAATTTATTCCATTAAAAATAAAAATAAGAATAAAAAAATAAATGATCAATTCATCAGACCTACAAATTCAAAAGAAAACAAAAAAACAACTCTGTTTTCTTTTTGAATATAAAAATAAAATTTGAGAGATTTAAGTATTCCAATGGAATAAATTATGACCATGGAATATTTTTGTTTAAGTTTTTTTTTTTATTATATCCTTACTCTGTCCTGGACATTGAGTTCTAACTGGATTCTATCCTCTTGGAATTTTTTTTTTTTCTACAAAATATATATGTAGGTGTATGCATGTGTGTGTGTGTGTATATATATATATATATATATATATATATATTCTGTCTATATCTCTGAGATGCGGTATTATGATTACGTACATTAGGAGTGCTAGAAGAAAGCAATGAATTGCAATATAAGCTCTGATAAAAAATGCACTAAATAATAACAGAAAAATTGAAATATGAGTACTGGTAAAAAAAAAAAAAAAAAAAAAAAAAAAAAGGGGTTACTGAGACATTAGGTTTTTTAAGTCCCAAAAATTCATACACACACAGGACACATGATCCAGTGAATAATGATGTTGGTTAGATCTAGTGACTAAATCAAAAGAGTTGTAAGAAAGCTGTGAGTTCAATACCAGTTCAATACAGCAGCGGTGAACCAAACTTGGAGAGAGTTGAATTAAAGAGAAATAACTGAGACATCTGGAAGAGGCATGGCAAGTGAAACTAAAAGGATGAAATAAAGGGTTTGGTTCAAAATTTCAATCACCTGAAGTGTACAATGGCTGAAACACTGTGAATATAGCAATGAGGATAACAGTCCGAATAATGTAATATATAAATAAATAGCGTATTTCCATTATGAGACAAGCTTTAAAAAAAAACAAAAAACAATAACACTCTCTCTGCCTATATTAGAATTTGCATTCACATGACTCCAGTGTTCATACTGACATTATCATGTCAATTGATGTGTCTTCCTCTTGTGTTGGCTCAGGACATCTTGGAATAGTTTCAAAGAAATTATACCTGTAACAATGACTAATGATACAAGTCCTAATAGTTAACCTATAGCTGGAGAGAATAGATTCCTACTTTTTCCAGGGTATTTGGGCATAAGTGTATGAAATGACACCAGCTGGAATTCAAACTCGGCTCTCAGATTTCAGATTCTAAGATTTTATCGACTACATCACACTCGCATAAGCTTAGAGAAACATAGGTCTGAATACATACATAGAGTCAGTAGAGAAATTGTGAGAAATATCTGTAAGACAAAAACATTGATGGGTTATTTTGGGGGGAATTAAGAGAATAAAAGGGCAAGTTGGGAGAATGGAGATATGAAGTATGGGCCCAATCTGTCAGTGAAAAATCTTAATGCAATATCTTAATTTCAGATGAAACCTTATTAAAGACAGCAGATTTTTTTTTCAAATGGAAATGCTTACAATTTCTCAAGTCTGTGCAAGCATGTTTCTGCATGTTAATGACAAGCCATAGTTTTTCCCGAGATAACTAATAAGATCAGCAAATTAAGTCCTGTCATCAAACCTCTGGCTCAACTGTTATATATGCTGATAAATTATGATCAGAAAGGAGCAAAAGACAGTGAGAGAGGACAAAGGAAAGGGAGCAAAAGACAGTGAGAGAGGACAAAGGAAAGGGAGCAAAAGACAGTGAGAGAGGACAAAGGAAAGGGGGAGCAAAAAGACAGTGAGAGAGGACAAAGGAAAGGGAGCAAAAAGACAGTGAGAGAGGACAAAGGAAAGGGAGCAAAAGACAGTGAGAGAGGACAAAGGAAAGGGAGCAAAAGACAGTGAGAGAGGACAAAGGAAAGGGAGCAAAAGACAGTGAGAGAGGACAAAGGAAAGGGAGCAAAAGACAGTGAGAGAGGACAAAGAAAGGGAGCAAAAGACAGTGAGAGAGGACAAAGGAAAGGGAGCAAAAAGACAGTGAGAGAGGACAAAGGAAAGGGAGCAAAAGACAGTGAGAGAGGACAAAGGAAAGGGAGCAAAAGACAGTGAGAGAGGACAAAGGAAAGGGAGCAAAAAGACAGTGGGACAAAGGAAGGGAGCAAAAGACAGTGAGAGAGGACAAAGGAAAGGGAGCAAAAGACAGTGAGAGAGGACAAAGGAAAGGGAGCAAAAGACAGTGAGAGAGGACAAAGGAAAGGGAGCAAAAGACAGTGAGAGAGGACAAAGGAAAGGGAGCAAAAGACAGTGAGAGAGGACAAAGGAAAGGGAGCAAAAGACAGTGAGAGAGGACAAAGGAAAGGGAGCAAAAGACAGTGAGAGAGGACAAAGGAAAGGGAGCAAAAGACAGTGAGAGAGGACAAAGGAAAAAGCAAAAGAAGGGAGGCAAGGGAGCAAAAGACAGTGAGAGAGGACAAAGGAAAGGGAGCAAAAAGACAGTGAGAGAGGACAAAGGAAAGGGAGCAAAAGACAGTGAGAGAGGACAAAGGAAAGGCAGCAAAAGAGAGTGAGAGAGGACAAAGGAAAGGCAGCAAAAGAGAGTGAGAGAGGACAAAGGAAAGGCAGCAAAAGAAAGGAGAGGACTAAGGAAAGGCAGCAAAAGAGAGAAAAGACAATGGAAAAGGAGCAAATAGGGAGATGATGAGAAAGCAGACAAGAGGGCAACAGGAAGGAAATACACCAATGACATTTTTGTTGTATTTTTCAAATCTTTTCAACCAAACATAGTACATGATCCCTTATTTGAAATTCCAAAAATTTTATAGAATCTGTCTACTCACCATAATCTATACTTGGCATAAAAACTAGAGACCCCTCACAGTAAACCATTGTTGAGTTTGTTATCTTAGCACTTCCAAAAATCAGATATACATTTGTTACTTGCTGACTTATTATTTCATCTTTTTATGAAAATGCTCAAAGAGAGGACTGGAACTCCTAATGAGTAACAGAAAAACTGACGGTAAATTTTGTATTCTATCTAACAACAATTCTGATCGTGATTCAAAGTAATCCTCAACTTCTTAGAAACAAATTTTGCATTGAGTGAAATAACGTCATACTGAGAGATCAAGAGAATACATCACATGTGAAAATTCTTTTCATCTCATCTCAAATTTTGCAATTTGTGAATAGACACTCCCTTCCTCCATGTATATATAAAAAAGAAAGAAAAAAGATATTCAATGAGCCAACAGCTCAGCAAGTTTATTCAGGATCTGGCAAGGCATAATAAAGAAATCCATTTGGATCCCAAACAGAGAAAAACAGACCAGCCTGCTAGCCGCTATACTCTTCTTAATTAGATTCTGTTTTAGGTGAGGTGCTGAAATCTCTTATGGATCATGTCCCAGTTGTCTTCATTTTGGATTCTCATGTTTCCTTTTTTTTTTTTCTTTTTTTTTTTAGTCATAAGTGGCTGCCTTGTCCAGAAAGGACATTTTTTTTATGTTAAGCAAGAAGTGAAAGCCAACTGTTTAAATCATTGCTGAGATTTGCCTGATAAGTTAATGCTGAACAAATTTTACAAGCTTCACACAAAATGTTTCCAACTATTATTTTTTAACAAACAAGAGTCCACACAACAAACGTCAAGTTCAAAAATCAATTCAAAAAGATTTTTAAATTATTTTTTTAAATTTAAACTATTTTTATCTAGCAGTATATGCATTATACACAGAACAAGGACACAGAAAATAACCTTTTATAAAACTTTCTTTCAGAGTAAAAATATAAAAATTTAATGTAACCCTAGACATGCCTAAGTCAAGCACAGTCAGAGATTTTACCATCATTTTGGGGTGAAGAAAAATATATGAGTATAATAATTTTTAAAGGTTTTTTTTTTTGTTTTTTTACTCGGACATTATTTCTTATTACTCTAATTTTAGTGGATATACACGTTTGAGTAGACTCTTCATTTTTTGTTTTATTAAAAACAGTGAAATTAGGCCAGTTGAAATTAATTGTATTAAAAATGTTTATTTTAATAAATAAGAAAAATAATTCAGGCATAAAAATGAAGCTAGCAAATATAGATTCAAAGAAGTTTCAACAAGAGATGCACATTCCTTAAATAGGTAATTGAGTTTTGCTTTATCAGGGCCAAATAGTTAACAGCATGCTTTCACTAAAGGAATTTGGTCCCTGTTGGAAAAATATGATACCAATTTGCATCAAAGTCCCAAGAGATAGTTTTTTGGGGGGGCGGGGTATATTCACTTTCATTATATATTTGGTTTTATTACAATTCTAATCAGTTTTTTTTTTTAAACAACATTGCAAAAGAATGAATGTAGTTAAAACAATAGCGGCATCAATGGAAAAACTGTCTTTTTCGTACTTCCCCTCCCCACTCGAACACAAAGGTCCAAGTTTGCCCCCAAAATAATGATACAATATGCTTCTTAAAATATACTTTAATTACTTTTCTCAGCCACCCCTCTGATGATGTCTCATGTGGGTTGGAATCTTGGGACAATGTGACATGAGAATTGGGTCAATCTAACCACACATAACAGCCACATTTGCTAAAGGATGTTTGTAGATTAGAAAAAAATACCCTGAAATATAATAAACATAAAATTTTTAACTATATTATTATATTCTTTATTCAAAATAGCCAGGAATTAAGTAGGCTGTATTTGATACTCTCTTTGAGTATCAAAAGGAACAGAAGACTAGGTAGAGAAAACCAAAAAACAAAAGAAAGAGGTTTATTAAATACTCATAAATAGGGCAAATAAACTTGAGTAACTCAACTACTCCTCAAATCCTCCTCTAATGTAGCTAGGTAGAAGAAACAAAGAGGTTTATTAAATTCTCATACATAGAATGAAAAAACTTGAGTAAATCAAATACTACTCAAATCCTCCTCTAATGTGGCTACTTGCAATATTTATAAGTAGGAGAGGTCCATTGTCACAATAGTAGGGAAGAGCAGGAAGTATGCTGAGTCTTAGATTCATAGAAATCCCAGCAAAAATGTGCATTCCTTAAATAGATAATTCAAACTTTGCTCTATCAGTGCAGTCTCCATAGCTGAATTGGTAAAGGCATGTTTTGGCAATAGAAAGTTTCCCTTATTAAAAAATAAGAAAAAGAAAAAGAAGGGCGGGTATGGTTTGATTCCTGTTGGAGACTATATATATATATATATATATATATATATATATATATATATATATATATATATTTTTTAAAATAGTACTTTCAGATCTATGCGACTTGATATTAATTCCACTATGCAAGAAAATAAAATACAGGGATGTCAACTAATACACATTTAGCCACTAAAAATAATGTTTATTGTAATAAGAAATAAACGAGCATTTAAAACTGATCTTTTCTCGGTTTGGTACAGATCCATGAAATTTATTTTTATTATACAAAAAAATAGAAATTTTGTCCCCCTTGAATACACATTGTTATTATCACTTCCTGACATACCAAGAAAGCGCTGACACATATCCAAGGGCAACCCGTTAGCATGGCAAATAAAAGCATTTAGTCAGAAGCAGAATGCTAGAATAGACATTTATAGTCTTGCACTGGGGAATATAGAAAGTAAGTATTCAAACAACCATTCAATATGATTGACAAATGACTTTAAGTGAAGCAACAAGCAGTTGAGGTAATCAAGCTGATCTGGAGTCAGAATAAATCCTCTTAATCCTTTCCATAATCATTTAAGCATTGTCTCGGATATACAACAGCTGTTCACTGTCAAGGTGAGGTTAAAGATTATTGGTTGACACTCAAATGAATTGGCACAGAGAGAACGAGAGAAAGTCAAGAGTATTTCCAGTGTTAAACTACAGAGATAAAAAAGACAATCAAAAAGAATAGATTATTATGATTATAAAATATTTATGCTTCATGTCATAATGACATACAATCTATTGGCAATATTAGAAGGATATTATGAGAGGTATCAGATTTCCTGATGATTTTTTATTATATAAAGTTTGCTCAATATAAGGCATAAGAGCCACTCAAAGTAAAGAGCTACTGCTGAAATGGTTATATAGAACAAGATGTGATACAAGTTAAAGAGGAAATGGTAGGAAATGAGGATAAGGAGGACAGATAACGGTTTGGTTTACAGCATATCAACTACAATGGGTTATTTAATGCCGACAATTTATATTTTCCTTTATAAATGTATTGCCAGTAATTTTTTTCCTTAAAAAAATGTATCACTGGTAATTTTTTTTTTTTTTTTTTTTTTAAATATAGTGCTGGTAATAATTTTTTTTAACAAAGTATTCCTGGTATTAAAACTTATTTTTACATTTCCATAGTGTTTTTACTCCAGTTTGGGGGGGTTAACTATTTGCACATAGCTGGGACCCTAACAGATGTTAGCACCCTGGGTCAGAGTGGACCTGGGAACGCCAGCAATTAAGAAGTGGTTCCCCACTCCTCAAAACCTCCTGATCAGAGGCCTTGCTGTTTGACAGTTTATTGTCATACCCAAGATGGTAACAATTTGAGGAAGTTAAAATTGGAGGGTTCACAAAAGTATCTATGTGAGAGTTTGTTCCATAAATAACAGTTCTTAGGAAAAGTGGAATTTTCTCTTTACATTTGAAATATGGAGAAAATGAGAGCAATCTGTCAATGGAAGTGGCATGGCATGCCCTAGTAGTAAAGGTCTGAATGGTAGAGATAGATGTAAGATATTTTGAAATTTTAGAGGTAGATGTAAGATATTTTGGAACAGGAAAGTGGAATCTGTAAGTCAAGTTAGTAGCATTCATTTTCACACAAATCTCCTTAGGAAAGGCATTTCTCACGCAGCTATAGGTTAAAAATGCAGACTAGCTTTGGATGTTAACCGAAGAAAAGGAAAATTCCAGATCATGGCAATAGGAAAATAATCCATTATCTGCAAGAATGTATAGCTATTCACAGATAATAGAAAGAAATATGTTGAGAGAGAAAAATGTCCTGATGAGACATGTCATTAGAGGAGAAAAGGAGAGGAGAAAAGGAGAGGAGAAAAGGAGAGGAGAAAAGGAGAGGAGAAAAGGAGAGGAGAAAAGGAGAGGAGAAAAGGAGAGGAGAAAAGGAGAGGAGAAAAGGAGAGGAGAAAAGGAGAGGAGAAAAAGGAGAAAAGGAGAAAAGAGAGGAGAAAAGGAGAGGAGAAAAGGAGAGGAGAAAAGGAGAGGAGAAAAGGAGAGGAGAAAAGGAGAGGAGAAAAGGAGAGGAGAAAAGGAGAGGAGAAAAGGAGAGGAGAAAAGGAGAGGAGAAAAGGAGAGGAGAAAAGGAGAGGAGAAAAGGAGAGGAGAAAAGGAGAGGAGAAAAGGGAGGAGAAAAGGAGAGGAGAAAAGAGAGGAGAAAGGAGAGAGGAAAAGGAGAGGAGAAAAGGAGAGGAGAAAAGGAGAGGAGAAAAGGAGAGGAGAAAAGGAGAGGAGAAAAGGAGAGGAGAAAAGGAGAGAAAAAGGGAGAAAAGGAGAGAAAAAGGGAGAAAAGGAGAGAAAAAAGGAGAAAAGGAGAGAAAAAAGGAGAAAAGGAGAGAAAAAGGTGGGTGGCAGACATATGTCCAGACTCAGAGTTAATGCAGCTCCCTCTAACTTATTTCAACCATGTGACTGCCAATACATCCTTTGGTGAGTCCTAATGAATAAATTCACAAATATTTTTTTTTCCATGTTTTCACATGTTGGTGATAGGTCATCCTGAAAGTTCATCATATTGAAGCAACACTCGACTAACCATGAAACATGTATACCGCACAAAAACTAGTTTCACCAAAGACCTGACAAAATATTTTGAGTCTCATTAATAGATTTGCTGATTTTCGCACTTTTGATGATTGGCATATTACTTGAATTAACATGAAGACCTTATAGCTGTTCCAACACCATATTACAAAATTCTGCATAATGTAAGTAGATATCACGACGCCAATTGGCCAAGTGAGTTAGCTGGCAACCAATAAGTATTAGCTGTACACAGCATGTACGCTTTGGAAACTTTCCAACGTCATCACACATTATAAATTTCTTTCTGTTGTTCTCTCACAAACTCTCAATTCAGTATTCCTCTAAACAAGCAGCAGAGATTAGAAATAAAAGAATCAACATCAAGTGAGATGTGAATTTCCATCTCTTATAAAACATTTTTATTTTATGGTTTTAACATTTATTAGATCATTGGGCTGTAAAAATAATTTTATAATTTTTTTTTTTTTTTGTAAGTGCATTATTAATTTTTTGAGAACAATTTTTCCAGATACAAAGCCCTACTATTTAACCCATAGCTGGGGATAGGGGACAGATTCATATCTTTCCCAAGGGTATTCAAACTTGGCTCTCTAATTTCTCATTCTGACCCACCATCCATTGCAACACTAACATATCCCATAGAGTGAGCAGGATTTAAGACATGGATCTCAAACCCACTACCTGTGGACTATCTTTCTGTGGCACCATTTTCATGACCTATATTTTCCTCCAATTTTAATAAATTTGTCCTTGATTCTTTCAATACATTTGCAGTGGCAGAACAGCCCTTGACTTATCCCCCAAGTGTGAACAGCCAGTCAATCAATTTTAAGGTCAACAGAAACTGTTCTAGGCTTAGCCAAGGAAGTAAAGAAAACTACCCCAAGCACCAATACATATTCTTCATCAGCTGCCTGACAAGAGGGTATTAATGTACTTTCTGACAATATTTTGGTTTCTTTTTTTTTTAATTTAAGAAATAAATTTGCCAACCCCTATTAGGAAAAGTTGGTCATTATTTTTTTTTAACCTCTTCACTTTATTGCCTTCAGTCATAAACTAGATATTTACTTTGTGACTGTCTCTAAGTTTATCAAGTTATAGTACCAATAAATATAAATAAGCATTGATATATGACAGATATGAATAGACTGATATACATAGGCATACACAGGGCGATATCGATGGATAGAAATCAGGAAATAATTATTGATAAGATACTAAAACTTATCATACACAAGATAAAAAAAAAATGATTATATATATATATATATATATATATATATTTCACAGCCATATTCACATATATAAAAACGAGAGAGAGAGACAGTTTAATAAAATTAAGCTGATATTTTTTTCTGCAACTTTTTATTGTTCAACCCAAAGTAGGGAGTTGTTCAGATTTATTACAAACTCAGTCAAACTGTACTCGTCTTTGCATGTACTCTCAAATAGCACTAGTACGTGTTTAGCCATTCACATAGAACACAAACATACGTATAACAGACAGATACAGATAGTGACGGCAGCGAACTAGCTCATGGATATCTTTATATTAACAAGTTGATGAGATCTTCAATAAGCACTATCATTCAGTTCCACTGTTTTTTTGTTTTGTTTTTTTTTTTAAATATAATTTTTTTTTTCCTTCTCTACATGCACAGTTCAATGTCCTTACACAATAACAAAAGATGAGGATGTTAGTCTGAATGTAAATAATTAAATTCTCACTTTTATATGTATTTAAATTAGGTGCTTTCCATTAAATTGATAAATCTCCATGCTGGCTTTCACCTGAAAGTCAAACAATATTCATGTCTGCATTGAAATTTAAGACAAATATTCATGTATAGAAAATTATTGACTTCTTTAGTGAAGTTAATTTATAAATAAATTTAATAGCTTTCCCCAACAGCCCAACATCGAAATGCAGATATACATTGGCATTAAAAGCAAATCATTCAACTTTGCAAGCAAGGGCCGCAAAGACAACAAAAGCAAGTTAATAAATAGACAAACGTTTGCATCACTCCATTGACTTGGGGTCATGAATAATTGAAGAGTCGACAGAACGAAGCAAGATGTCTGGTTTGAATGCAAATGTAACTTTCTTTAATTGTTCATAAAATGTATTGAACAAATCTCAGCTCAGATAAAAACATCAAGAGATGTGACCAGCAAACAAAACAAAAAAAAAAAAAAAAAAAGAATTCTATTATTGATTTTTATATATTTATACATACACATTATTATCTCTTATTACTGTTATTATTAAGAGATAATGTGTATGTATAAATATATTAAAAAAAAATTTTTTTTAAAAATCAATAATAAAATTTTTCTTTTCTTTTTTTTCCTCTCTCATTACTGCTATCATGGAGGCACGGAGTAATGGATAGCGGCTCAGATTGAGGAATCAGAGCAGAGTTCGATTTCTATTTGAATCCATTACATTCACTTACATGCTACTAACCTTGGGAAAGGTATAAATCCTCATCTTCTCCCCCCAGCTATGGGTAAATAACAGGATAGACCGGGTTCTATAGCCTTGGATGGCAACTTGTCTACTGCAGAAAGTAATAGCAACTTACTGCAGGAAAAAAACTGCCTTGTCAGTCATGTATCGAAAGATACATGATCGCCTAAGCGTGTATCATGCATGGCACACAACTGACTGACAGTTATAATTAGTGGGTACACATATTTGAGTGTTTTTTTTTGTTTTTTTTCTTAAACAGTGAAATTAATAACAAACAACAAAGATTGAAAAGTCCTACTAAAGAAAAAGATTGTCTCTGACAGGAATCAAATCAGTATCCTTTTTCATCAGGCAAAGTGATGCCAGAACATGCCTTTACCAATTCGGACATGGAGACTGCATTGATGGAGCAAAGTTTGAATTACCTATTTAGGGAATGCAGGGACTTCTACGAATCTGCATCTACTAGCTTTGAATTATTTTATCTGACATTATTTCATTATTAATATAAATATTATTTTTGTGGGATACCTGTATTTCAGTTGCTATTTGTTTTTTTTTTTTTATAATTTTCTTAAACAGTGAAATTAATCTCAACCAACGTAGATTGATAAGTCAAAAAAAAAAAAAAATTTTTTGACTTCAACAGGAATTGAAGGAAGGTACATTTTCCATTAGGGTTTTATAAGTCTATACATGCTACCTTCAGTTTTATTCCTGAAATGGAAATAATACATGCACATATATGTTGGAGTGTAGCACACTGTGTACTTCAGCCTCTTCCTTACTACTTGCTCCTACTAATAAATATGGCAAGTAGCCACATTAGAGTAGGTTTTGAGTAGTATTTGATTTACTCAAGTTTTTTTCGTTCTATGTATGAGAAGATCTTATTTGTTTCTTCTACCTAGTCTTCTGTCTCTTCAATACTCTCTAACTATGGCCTTCCTAATTCTCGGATATTTTGAACAAAGGCAACATTACAACAATATACTCATAAAATTTAGAGATCTTATGTTTATTATGTTTCAAGATATTTTTTCCTAATCTACAAATATCCTTTTGCAAATGTGGTTGTTATATGTGGTTAAATTGATCAAATTTCACATCACATTGTCCCAAGGTTTCAACCCACATGAGCCATCATCAGGGGGTGGGTAAGAAAAAAATAAGTTAAGCATGTTTTAAGAATCAGATTGTCTCATTATTTTGGGAGCAAACTAAAAAAAAAAAAAAAAAAAAAAAAAAAGGGTTTTCCCATTGACACTGCTTTTATTTTAACTACCTTCACTCCTCAATAATCTTCATTGTTTTAAAATACAATGATTACAATTGTAATAAAACCTAAATATGTGATAAAAGTGAATATAAAATCCATGGCCTTCTAAAAGAAACAACAATCTCCTGAGATGGTTGGAATGACAAACTGAACCTTTTATTTTGCTTGCTGGGGTAGACTGTTCTAGTTCCACATGCCATGTCTAATGGATGTCAGTTATCAATTGTCTCCTGTTAATTCCCCTCTCCAAGTTTTCCACCACTTTAATCAGATATTGAACTCACACTCTTTGGATCCTGTCACTGGATCTAACTAATGCCTTTATCCACTGTGCCCTGTGTCCTTGAGGACATCTGTATATGAATTTCTGGATACTATAAACCTAGTGTCTTCAGCAAACAGTCTACCCCAGCAAGTGAAATAAAGGGTTCAGTTCGACATTCCAACCACCTGAAGAAGGCCGGAGCATGATAGTCCAAGCAATGTAAATAGTGTACATAATACCTCATCTCAGAAATATAGACAGAATCTCCTGAGACTTAAAGAAACTAATGCTTAACCTAACGCTTTCAACTACCAGTAATTGTACCTAGCCTAACTTTAGAATACTGTAATTTTTTCTTCCACCTGCAATCATGGTAATAATTAATATGCTGGTGTAATAGACCATGAACAAAAGAATGAATTTGATTCTCACCAGGTGTGTTCATGTGACTTTGTGCTATACAAAGCTAAGGTTTTTTTAATATCCATTTTCGTCATTTTGATTTTCCTCATTTCCTACCCCCTAAAAGGGAATTATCAATTTTTAATGTATACAGTTTATGGCAGGAGTGGGTAAACTTTTCAGTACAAGTGCCACATTCAAAAATTCACAATTTTATTGGGTCACACAGTATATTAAGCCAAAATAATTAATATTTAAAATAGACAAAAAAAAAAAAAAAAAAAAAAGGCTTTTAAAGGAAAAATGCAATTTATTTTTATTAATTAATATTTTAAAGTACTATAGAAGATTCATTTGAAACACAAAGTAACTCAGTTTAAAGTAGTT